CCATCTGCCGTGGCAGGATTTGCACTTGGGTCCCCGTTATCTGGTTCTCTGGATTAACAGTCCAGTGATAATACCATGAGGCCAATGCCTCCCCATCGCTTCCCCATTGAATGCAGTATTCTAAAAGTGGCCTCACCAATGTCCTGTACAGCCACAATATGATGTCCCAACTCCTACACTCAGTGCACTGACCGATAAAGTTGAACATGCTAAACACCTTCTTCACCACTTTTTCTGCCTGTGATTCCACTTTCAAGAAACTACGCACCTGCTGCCCTAGATCTTTTTGTTCGGCGTCACTCCCCAGGGCCTACTATTAACTGTATAAATCCTACCCTGGTTTGCATTACCAAAATGCAACACCACACATTTATCTAAAATAAACTCTATCTGCCACTCCTCGGCCCATTGGCCTATTTGATCAAGGTCCCATTCTACCCTGAAATAACCTTCTTCACTGTCAACGACCCTACCAATTTTGATGTCATCTGCAAACTTACTAACCATACTCATATCAAAATCATTTATATAAATGAAGAAAGCAGTGGACCCAACACTGATCCTTGCGGCACACTGTTGGTCACAGTTGTCCAAAAAACAACCCTCTACCACCACCCTTTGTCTCCTACCTGCATGCCAATTTTGTATCCAATTGGCTAGTTCCCCCTGGATTCCATCTGATCTAACCTTGCTGACCAGTCTACCATGTGGAACCCTGTCAAATGCCATGCTGACGTCCATATGGACATCATCTACTGCTGTGCCTTCATCAAACTTCTTTGTCACCTCTTCAAAAAACTCAATCAACTTAGTCAGACATGATTTTCCATGTGCAAAGACATATTGACTATCTCTAATCGGTCCTTGCCTTTCCATTGCATGTAAATCCTGTCCCTCAGAATCCCTTCAACAACTTACCACCACTAACATCAAGTTCAGATCTGGAGTATTTTACAAGCTTTTTGGGACATAGAAAGATTTTTAAAATCGTCCTTCAGCTCCTTAGGGTGTAATATCATTTCATTAGGTCAAGGATGATGTGTAAATCAACTCTGTTTCCTGAGCTGTAGTAATTTTGTCAGCCTCACAACACACTGTATAATAGTTTCATGACACAGTGAATTACTTATTTGGTGAGAAAGTTTGCAAACTAGCCAACTCTTCTATCTTTCAGACTCACACTAGTGGCTTACCTTTTTCTGCCAGATGAGTTTGTGTCTTTGTAAAAGCATTATTCTTTAAAATTTGATGGATTAGCATTAATGCAAGGTGCGTAGTCTGAAGTTCAAGGTCAGTGATGAATGAATGGATCCAGCCATTCCTACAGTTACACTCACTCACAGGCTTTCTATGGACTTGCATGCTGCAACTTGGGATGGAGAGAAAGCCACTTTGGCATACGACACTCCATAGGAATTCTGGCACCTGGTGTGAACAGGGTAAGCTACTGTGCATCTCCTTAACTGAACACAAAGAGCTTTAAACAGGAAGTATGAGTTGGAATAATTAATTTGATAACAAATCATGTACAGAAAATGAAATGAAACAAAGGAAAACATGATCAAGAGAGATATTATAAGTCACTATGTCACATAAATGCCACATGACTGTCACATGAATCCCCATCTCCAAGAAGAGAGAAACTAACCGTCTTTCTTTGACATTCAGTAACGTTATTATCACTGAATTTCTCACAATCAAAGCTCCTGGGGTTTACTGTTGATCAATAACTGAACGGGACCAACAGTATAAATAATTATGGCTGCAAGGGCAGGATGGAGACTAGAAATTTAAGGTTGAGTAGCTTACTTCCTCAGTCTTGAAATCCTGTTCACCATTGAGAAGGCAAAAGTCAGGATTCTGATGGAATACTCTCCACGTTACTGGGTAAGTGCAGCTCCTACAATTCTCAACAAGCTCCATGCCTTCCGGGACAAATCAACCCACTTGATTGGCACGCCATCCACCGTCTTCAACATTTTCTCCCTCCATCACTGATATTAGCGTGTATCATCTGTAAGTTGTATTAGGGCAATTCATTGCGGTTCTTTCTAAAGCACTTTCCAAATCTTCAATGTCTCCCATGAAGATTTGTAGCTCAGGTTGTGGATGAGGTTGTTGACTTGCTCGCCGAGCTGGCTGGTTAGCATATAGACGTTTCATCACCATGCTAGGCAACATCATCAGTGTGGCCTCTGATGAAGCGATGTTGTTCTACTCCGCTTGGAATTTGTATGATCCAGTCTGTTAAGTTGGGTTGTGTCATTTCCGGTTCTGTTCTAATGGATTTGTATATGGGGTCTAATTCCACATGTTTGTTAATTGCATTAGGTTGAAAACCAGGCCTCTAAGAATAAATGTTCATGGTTTCAACTTTACCTCTACCACCAAATATGGACCAATATACTTACTTAAATTAGAAGGTTGATACCTGAGCATTGTCTGCCAGTACCTCTCATTTTCACAATGTCGATGAAACGTTGGTTTGTCCTTGCTGGATTTTATGATGAAGATGAATAGCTAAAAATCAAAGAAAGGAAATACATAGAGAAAGATTCCAAAGTATGGTGAAGTTTGATGTCATGCACAACAAACGATATTTTTATATGTTTATCAAAAGTGCATTATTTTTATTGGGTCGGACTCAATTTGGTATAGGATCTGCTTTGAATAAAATAATATAACAATATTAAACTGACAGTGATTTAGTGGATAATTAAGAAAGTATTACAAGGCTGTTTGAATACAATCAGCCATGAGTAAGTTCGTAGCAGTTGAATCCAACAACTGGCCATTGCTCTGTTAAAGACACAAGCTGGAACATTTTACATTGTCACCAACAGCTCTCCTATGGGAGATGGGTGCCTAAGAAGTATTGGCAGGTTATTAGATACACAGTCCAACTCAGTGCTCTCTTTACCCAAACCCTGCACAAATGCCGTTCAAAGTCGTAGTCTTTGCACAGGGAATAAGATGGAAACTCTAATGAAATTTCACCGAGTCCCACCAAGCCTGGGGACACTGAGGCCAATTGTACATCTCCTTGACAGAGATCAGATAATTCTGAAAAAGTTAGAATTACCCTATTTCCTTGTCATGCTGTTCAGGACTGTGAAATAATTTTATCCACTTGGGCACAGCGAAGGAGACATAGTATTGAAGAGAGACAGTACCATAGTGGTAATGTCATTAGCAAGAAGTCCAGGATACTGGATGTAGTAATTGGAACCAGGTGGATCTTGTTGACTATGAGATCCTTGACTGGGGTTATTAACCTGGGCCAATCAGAAAGTCTTGGCTGACCAATATAAATAGGAGATTAGTTCAGTTCAGGGACTGACTCCAAACTGGCTGACCAAAACCGGTGTATTGTGCACGTGTAAATAAAGGGTGACATGGTGGTGGGATATCTTCCCCTGTGCAGTTATTTCACTGGACTAATGATCTGGGGCATGGGTTCAAATTCTAACAATGGCAGATGGTGAAGTTGGCATTCAGTTTAAAGCTATATTATAAAGCCAACCTAGTGGTGACCATGTTACCATGTTTATCATAGAAATTCATCTGGTTCACTGATTGCTCAACTTTAGGGAAGGAAATTTGCCATCCTTACCCAGTCAGGCCTGCATGTGACCCCAGACCTATGGCAATGTGGTTCACTTTTAAATGCTCTCTGGGCAATTAAGGATTGGCAATAAATGCTACCCTGGCCACATCCCTTGAGAACATTAAAACAAATAAGAACTTTGCTTTGGGAATTGAGTGGAAATTCACTTGTATGATTAAGGCTGAAGCATCCTTTATGTGCATATTCAGTGAATGGGCAATGATACGGCAGATGGAGTGTAATATAAGTGTGAGAATTGGTAATTAGAATAGAAAACCAAAATAATTTTTAAAAAGCCGTAAATGTTACATATAACCTGGGTATACTTCTTATGTAAAGAAACATGAAGTGATCATTCAGGCACTGTGTTTTAGCAGCCTAATAAAAGAACTGATCATTACAGAAAACTTTCCAATCATACTTCAGTTCTTCATAACAGAGCTAGCTCATAACAATGACAAAATATGGAATAATTCTTATTCGTGTGTAGAAATCAAAATGGTCGCAGATAAGTAGGGCCATCAATTATAATAGTATGCAGCATGGCTTTGAAAATATAAACAACATAGGACAACTTCTTTAAACAAGATTAATGCAGGCTAAAGTTATCTCCTTATCATCTGATAAATGAGCCAATTTAATTTCCTGTTTGCAGCCAAGGAAATATTCTTCTGAACATGGAACCACAAAAACACAGCATCATCTAAGCGCAATCATAGAAAAAAAATTGGGAAAGAAAGAAACTATTTTGCCCATCAAGTTTGAGCAGGCAATAATACCCCACCAATTACTTTCTCACACATGGGACAGGACTGACAAACAGAAGTAATAAAGAGAACTATACTACAGAACCTCAGGAAGTTATGTCAAATTCACTCAACTCCATTTTGGAGCTACAGAATAATCAACAAACCGCTTGTTGGTTTGTTGTAAAGGCTATTTGAGTGGACCAGTAATCTATTTAGATTGCAATATAGGACCAAAAGGGCCATTGTACTGTCCTACCTCTCCCTATCATTGTACCCATTACCGTTCTTACATTCAGCTCCGCCCCCACCCCACTGATTGTCCATTTCTCTTTGAATTCTTGTAATTCCCTCCCTCCTTCAACATTGCTCTCTTGTTTTATTTTTCTCGTTTACCTGGTACTTTCTACTCTTTAAAGACCTTCTTTAAAAACTATCCTTTACGAAAGTACTTGGTCATCCATTTAACATGTTCTCTTTAGATCAATGGACATTTTAAGGGATAGCATTTCGGAATATTTTCCACTAAATGTATGAATTAATCCCAATAACAATTGTTTATAATCCCTTGACAAGATATATTAATCAAAGTCTCAGACTTGTTCCTGTATTGAAGAAAACAAAACAATGTTCATGTTATTCGACAGATATAAGATTATTGTTACACAAAAGAGAGCATGGATTGCTGTTGGAATCTGCTGGCTTGGATCTATTCTGATTGGACTAACTCCAATGTTCGGCTGGCACAACAGAAGCAATGGAGAGGTGCAAAAGGAAGAAATGAATTCCAGCTACAAATACATCATGTGCAAATTTACAAAGGTGATCAGAATGGACTACATGGTGTATTTTAATTTCTTTGGATGGGTACTCTTACCACTAGTCATCATGTTTTGCCTGTATGCTGAAGTATTTTATATAATTAGGAAGCAACTAAACAAGGTGACAAATCCTACAGACTCAAGGAAATATTTTGGGAAGGAGCTTAAACTTGCCAAATCCCTCGCTTTAGTTTTATTCCTGTTTGTTGCCTGCTGGATCCCTTTGCACGCCATGAACACTGTATGGTATTTTTGCCCCCAGTGCAGTATTCCAAAAACTGCCTTCTATGTTGGAATATTTCTGTCCCATGTAAATTCAGCTGTGAATCCAGTGATATATGCTTTCAGAATAAAGAAGTTTAGGACATCATTTCTTCAAATTTGGAATAAGTATGTTTTATGTAAAAAAGGAACCTTAAGTATGTATAGTTTTGATGGCCAAATTGTAATGGAAAACAATTTTAATAGTAGTGTGTGATTGTACTTTTGAGGAAAAGACTTGCATATTTTTTAATGTAATGCAAAGAAAAGTTGTAATAGAGTTCCATCACATAACCCTAATCTAACGGCATGAACTGTTATATTGCATGATGCAAGAAAATTTAGGACATTTATGTTGTGAATTGTACTCATTTTCTGTTGTAAACGGGATTTCAAAACAAAGTACGTCAGATAACAATAAACACAATAAAAGCAACATACTGCAGATGTTGGAAATCTGAAACAAGCACAGGGGAACATGACAGGTCTGGCAGCATCTGTGGAGAGAAAAACAATGTTAATGTTTCGAGTCTGGTATGACACTTCTTCTGAACTTCTTTAAACCTAAACAAAACAAGGTGGCTGTAACATTCCCTGGCTGGACCACACAGACTAGAGTTCCTCCTTGGGACAATACAGAATTCATGACAAAGAGAAAACGTCCAATGAGCAATTCCTTTGCATCTGGAACCTTCTGAGAAAGCTCCTTATCACCAGAAACTTTGGAGGATTCACATTCATTTAAGCTTATCAAGCAAAGGTTAGACAACTAAAATCCTACTCTGTCTCCTGGCTAACTGTTAAGTTGACCCCAATTTATCATTGACCCACTGATACAGGAACCACTATCCGCGACTGTTTCTACTCAGACCAGAGCCAATTCCCTTTGGCTTTATTTCCCCATCCCACTTCCCCACCAACCTAACTTGACCCAGTACAACCCAATGCCTAGATATTTTCCTCAGCAACCGGTTCAGAGACATTATGACACATGTTTGGAGCAGGTGGGACTTGAACGTCCTAGAAGAGGTAGGGGCACCACCTATCCTTGAACAGACAGCCCTGATCAGGTTTGGAAATGAGGTTCCTGAGCCTGGTCAGAAAGTCTGCTTGGCAGTATCTTGATTACTGGATATTACACATTTTATTTATTGGCTAGCCCATTCATTAGCTGTTTACAAACTCATTCTCTGTAGAATGCACTTGCTTGCACTTCAAACTTATTAGAGCTTTTTTTCCAGAAACTGCATAATTGAAGTTTCACTGTCTTGGTTCTTCTAACTGTCTAATGTTGTACGATGATTTGATGTGTTGCAAAAACAAAACAATTGCCAGCTGCTTTAAGGAGATGAGGAATATTTAAATTGGCTGTTAATGCAGATAACCTCCATAACTTTAGCGTCAGCTTTCTGTTACACTCCATACAAACCGAAAGAACTGCGGATGCTTTAAATCAGGAACAATCCGTTATACTCCCCTCCGGCAAGAGCTGTAATGTGACATTAGATCCTCAATAAATGTGGTCACTCATGCTCTGTAATTATGAGACACAGGCCAAACATGGTAAATATGGTTCGCTTAGCTCCTCCCACTGTTTGAAGGAGCAAATTGCATTGGTCCGACTTGCTATTTCCGCCCTATGATCAGTAATTAGGTGAGGCATGGAACAAGTGAAGAACACATACCTGTGCCACGCTGTATTAACTGAAGCGTTAATACAATTACACTGCCCTTCTTTGAGGTTTTTCCTAGTTTGGTTGACGTTCTGCAACTAAAAGCGAAAAAAAAATTGAGAGCTCCCATTTCACTGAGACGGCTTCAGTCCCATCTGTATTCAACAACCTATTTTGAATACACTGCTCACATTTTGGCACCTGTGATAAATTGCATCGCAGCGGCTGAGACAATCCACAGCATTTTAAAACAATTTATATCATTTTCAAACAAACAACCCACAACATGCTAAATTAAAAAGTCAATGTGCCCTATCTTCTAATCTTACTGGATGGATCCTTTAAAAACGTACGATATCTGGATCTGCACTTTCAACAAAAGTGAAACAGTTCTTTCTTGGGCTATTGCTTCTGCAGCAGGTTTTGTTAAAGTATATCTATTAATCTACAAGATCTATTGTTTCATGGAAAACCAGATTAACAGGGCAAAACCTTCAGTGGTAGAAGTAATCAGTGCAGTTTTAATTTTTCACCAGCTTCATATTGAAATATATAAATAATTCAATTATACGCTCTTTTCCTCTCATTTGTATTTGTAAGATTGTTTAATTTATCTCTTTATTTACTTTCTGTCATTAAGCCCTAAAGTTAGAACAAATAAACAGATCAATAAGCTGCTCCCTAAGAATTCTGCAGCTGATCCAACATTGACAAGAATGTTATGAAGTTTCATTGTCTTCTGAGCTGATGCCTGCACAATGTGAGCAATTTAAAACAACTCATTACTTATTAATATGTTTCTAGTTTCCTGCTTTTGTTGACATTTATCAATGTGAAAATTGTGTTCAACCTTGAAATGTTAGCTAATTCTGGATATTTATGACATCCACTTTTAAGGTGAAGCTAAACTTCTGATACACAGTACGTAGAGCAGAAGAACTATATAAGTAACTTCTGAGACTAATATCATGGACAGTACTTATTTTTTTCATTTGCTGTCTATGATCAATGTGTTTTGTATGTAAGAAATGAGTATTTTCACACCCTTGTTATATGTTCCAATCAAATAATGACAGCATCAAGGTTTTGTGAGTTGTAAAGTACACAAGGTTAGCTATTCTCACAGACTTATTCTCACAGAGATGTGGTATCTCATGCACATGTTAAAGCATGTTACAGTTTACAGGCTTTGACTTACAGGTTACAGATAACATTAGCACAATTGGACAACCTATGGTTATATTTAGCCATTGGCTTACCATTTCTGGCCTCGTATGATATCTAGTTTCCTGAATGAAATTGATGCTTTGAGGTTGAAGAAGCGGGGTCTTGTAAATTGTTAGATTTTCAGCAGACTGTGAGGTTTCCTAAAATAAAATTTCTAGAAGGTTTGTTCCCAGGTGGATTTGAAGTTTGGACAGTCCGGTGGAGTTTTTGGCTCTGTTAGGATCTCCTGCTTATGAGGCATTGCTGTTGGCTGATTGAATTGCTTGTGGCGAGTTTTATAGTATTGATGGAACTGGCTACAAACACCTTCAAACACATTGAAAAACATTCAAAGTGGCTTCCTCATCATGTGACATATTATGGGTTACAAGCCATTTTCCAGAAGAAGTGTGTCATTGGTGGTGTTCATGTTGATTCTGGCATCTTGTATTGTGGTTTAATACCTTTAGGGTTTGAGACAGTAAACAGAGTAAAGTAGGTCACAGTGAGAGAGGCTATTTGTCCACTGTTTCCAGTTGAGGTTTCATGGCATCCTTTATTCAGAGTGAAACAGAGGCATTTAGTTTTGACATTCTAGAACCCTTTCATGTTAGCTCCTCCTTAAACAATAGATGTGCAAAATCCCCAGATAACTGTTAGTGTCCATATTCAATTAGGTATTAGAATGAGACATGGTGCTGTCTGTATCTCAAATGCCAGAGGTCACATGATTTGCAGTAGTCATTCTATTAGGTTTTTGTGCCCAGTTTTAAAACATCCTTAACGAAAATCTATAATATACTAGGACATGATGCTAAATGTATTCCATTTTACAGCCAAGAGAAGCCAAGTGATGTTTCAGTAACTACTCTTCACTGGTGTCAGGAATTTTGTGAAACACAAATACAGAAAATTCTCAGAGCTGATAGGCATGACCTACCAGTCACAGTTATACGTACACGTTCTCTTTTTGTGCATGTTTCTGTCTGCACTCTCCGCCTATTCCACCCGAGCAAAATAGGTGGCAACCATTCTCTGATTCTTTCCTCAGAGCAAAGCCTTCACCAGTCAGAGTTAACCTATCTAGTTCAAAAGTAAACAAATTTTAGCAGTTAATTGTCATTGACTATTGCATTTTGCATGGCAATGCATCTACCAATCAGAGACCACTTGCCAACCAATCAGGATGGTCTTTTTTAACAGGATAAAATGCTGTTCCCTTTTAAATTGATATTCTTGCAAAATTGTCCTGATCAGTGCAAGATAAAAAAAAAGCACTTAAAAAGCTGTCAAAAGAATTACTCATTGCTTTTCATCTGCCCCAATGTGTTTTGCCTGGAAAAAATGAGCATTCTTTCCACATACTGGGCCCAGTCTTAGAATTTTTACAGTGATAATGGGAACCCAGTGGGATTAAAGTATTTTCTCATTGACTTCACTTTAAGTAGCAGCTTTAGCAACCCAGCTCAGCTCTGTTGTGATATGATTATTTCTTGTTGAGAGGAAGTAGATAGTGAAAAATCAAAGGAAGGATGCAAGAATACAGTCTTGGCGTACTCATTACAAGGATCTATCACCGCAGCTTCACAATCATGACAAGGACAGGTGAAGAGTTTCCTTGTTCTACAGTCTCCAGAAGAATTAACTTTGTCAGCGATGCCCACATAGAATTGGCTGTTTGTGTCTGGAGCACTGCTTTTAGTTCTAATCGCCATAATTACAAGAAAGATATTATTGCACTGGAAAGGATGCAGTGTAGAGATAGCAGTCTGATATTTGTTAAACATCTGAGCTACAAGAATAAAACTACAGACACTAAGTGGATTTAGTTGTAGAAGAGATAGAGAGGATCTCATCAAGGTGTCTGTTAATCTAACAAAAGCAGCCATTGCTGGAAAACTCAGCAGTTGTAGCAACACCTGTGGAGAGAAAATAGAGTAAACATTTCAGGTCCAGTGATTCTTCTTCTCTCCACAGATGCTGCCAGACCTGTTGTTTTTGTTTCTGATTTCCAGCATTCACAGTTTGTTGTTTTCTATTGCCTGTTAATGTAATTGGGGGCTGAATTTTCCTATTATTTTGGCAGTGTCTTTTGGCATGAGATTCATGGCAGTGATCCACCATTATCCCCATTGACCCTTCTCATGCAATTGTCTGCTTTTCACCTCATTAACTGTACAACTGGCATCTGCTCCATTTGACTCGTGCAACTATGTGGCAGGACAGGTCGAAGTGTTCGCCTTCGCTGAGACTTTGCAACATTCACGCTACTGGCGCCATATTTAAACTCTGACTGCACAGCACCTCAGATGATGCAAGCCAGGAATTACCTTTCACAATGTGCTAATTGAATATTGTCGTTGAGGATATGGCCCAGAAAGGAAAGCTGGCATCCCATTTCACTGACCGAGATCTGGAGGTTCCCATGGATTGGGTGGTCAAGAGAATGACAGGGATGGATTCTACAGGCCATCAAAGGAGGCCACATCACCACATGCAGCCAGGCTGGACTCAGGAACCAGGTCAGTGCAGACTCTGAGACTAAAGCAATTCACAG